CTACTACTCTCTCTCTCTCTCTCTCTCTCTCTCTCTCTCTCTCTCTCTCTCTCTCTCTCTCTCTCTCTCTCTCTCTCTCTCTCTCTTCTCCTCTCTCTATTCTCTTTCCCACCGGGATAAACTTGCAAACGGCGTTCTAACGTAATAAACGCGCTTTCCGCTTTCGCGCAGCCGATCGACCGCCTCTTCCTACGCTCTCTTTTCCCGGATCCGCGGGCAATTTCGCAGAAAACATACGGCAAGTCGTGCGAAAACGCCGAGAATACCGGAACGGGATTTTGTTTACACGCCTTCACGCCGGATGATACGATCCGATCTTTCAAGCGTCCGGAATAAGTCGTTTGCGGTAAACGCCATGCCAATTTCGCGAATATTTCGAAAACGCTTTGATGTTTATTCTAATTATGTCACTTTTCCAGCAGTTCACGTCATTTTCGCAAATATATTTTGAATATTTCAGTAAATGATTATACGTGGCTCGTTATAATTTCATCATTCCAATAGAAATTTAATTCAATGCCAGAAAGCTACAAATTTAAATTTTTGCATAAATATTTATTAATATGCTTTAAATAAACTATTACAAATATTTATTAATAATTTATTATAATTTTACAAAAGCAGATTATAGTTTCAATCTATTTATTCCTATATAAATTATTTATTTATTCCTACATAAATGATTTCGAAAATACTTTTTAAATTTTCATCACGCGCAACATATAAGCCTTAAAAAAGATAACAAATTTCAAACTTTTAATTAAAATTTGTTTTAAGCTTGTATCCGATATATTTATTTTTAGCCTTCATACTTTTGAATTATTTAATTATTAAAAATTTATTACGTTGTTATTCGCATCTTTCTATTATATTTAAATAATAAAATGAAATCAATTTCGGAATTATGTAACGCAAGAGATTCTCATCTAATTCGCTCTTGTACGACCAATAATATTCTTGTAGAATATTGTTTTATCTACGTTCTTCATCATCCTCAAAGCACGAGACCAAGATCTTATACCCTCATGAATAAGGATAGTCACTGTATTATGAGCCGCTCGCCACGGAGTAGCGTCGATATCGCTATAAAATATCGATCGAGATGAAACTTTGGCGCCAACATCTTTTCACGATATTTATTAATCATTCCCTTTGATACTTAGTAACGCGCAAACTTTTCTCGAGAGGTATCGGTATCCCATCAATTCACAGAATGCCGCCGCACGCGCCGCGAGGTGTGAATTACGCGCGCGAATTAACAACGTCGGAGACAGAGACGAGAGACATCACGAGCAGCATATTATCGTCCACGTGACTCACTTGCACTTGGTATCAGGTATATTTACGAGCGCGACGACCCTGGCAGTTCATGTAATAGTCTTATTTCCGTTCTTTACCGCCCATGCACCTCGCGACTTTACCGCGAATGAAGAATTTGGCAAGCTTCGCTCTGCGGCCAATGTCACGATATAGTCGCGTTTCCGCCTCATTTAAGACTCCACTCGCCGACTTACCTTTGATCTATGAAACCCTTTTCGCATTTTCGTCCTTCTTTCTCTCTGTTATCATTAAATGTTATTTTTGTGTAATTTAGCTAGCTTGTGTAATTTAGTGTAATTTTTGTGTTTATTTAGCCTTACATTAAGCTGCTATTTTTCAATTGAAAGTATCACGAATACCCTCGTATTCTTTCGACGAGAAGAATATCAAACGTTGTTATATATCAATAGAAGCAACGGTAACAGTCGAGTTAAGGGTCAACGAATTCGCGATTGATTCCGTCTCTTCCGCCGATTTGTTTGTCTACTTCCACGCGATGTAAACGTCAAGGGACGATCGCCACTTCGAAGGAACGTCACCTGACACAACAATCCGCTGCCTTATTGATATTGTTGCAGGGTTTCTATGGATGGTCGGAACGAGAAGATCGGAACAATTTCCGGCAAGAAGCTATATGCTTGACCTTCCAGGGCTATCCTCAGCGTTTTCTTTTCGCCGCCTCTCTTATCCGCGAGCCATTGCGAAATGCTTGTAAAGGGGTGTTTCTATATAAGGAAGAAAAATTGTATTTGAGAGAGAGAGAGAGAGAGAGAGAGAGAGGAGGAGGAGAG